TTATTATTTTGCCTTCATCAAGAACACTAGAATGCATTAAAATGGCTTTTAAGCTATTTGAAAGGTACTTTAAATTTAGGTCTTATATTTAAAATGAATAAAAGGAGAATTACCTTGAAGGGGTTGACTGATTCTAATTTTGCTAGAGATAGAGATAATAGAAAGTTTACCTTAGCCTATTATTTTACTTTCTATGATACTGCTATAAGCTGGAAATCTCAATTGCAAAAAGTAGTAGTTCTATCATCAACTGAAGCAGAATATATTGCTGCTTCTAATGCTATTAAAGAAGGCATTTGGTCAAGTAGATTGTTGAATGAACTTGACTTTGTTGATGAAAATACAACTTTATATTCTGATAACCAAAGTTCCATATACTTAAGTAAAAATTCCATGTTTCATGATAGGATTAAGCATATAGACATTAAATATCATTTTATTAGAGACATTATATCTAAAGGGATTCTGAAGATTGGTAAAATTCCTATGCAGTTTAACCCCTGAGATATGAAAACTAAGATAATATATTTAAACAAGTTTCTTAACTGTTTGAAATTGTTATTTATTGATACATTNGGTAAAATTCCTACTTAGATCAATCCGTCAGATATGGGTACTAAGATAATTCCTTTAAACAAGTTTCTTAACTGTTTGAAATTGTTATCTATTGATATTCTGTGATGCTAAATAGGCACTTGGAGCAAATGAGAAATATTTGGTAATGGTTTCTCTTGGCTCTACTTATTGACCCAAATTTTTGGTAGCAATGTGGAGATTGTTGAGGCTCGAACCCTGATCAATGATGTGCTCTCACAAAATTTGGCTCAAAGTTGTGTTTCTGCTGATACGTTTTTATTAGTGAAATTTTTTTTTACAAGATGATGACCCGTGTTCAAATTGTGACCCTTAGCTTCTTGCCTTATTGTTGTGAAATATATATACGTACACAGTGCTGTATTTTTTCACTTCTCTGCCTTTCGAGATTTTTCCAACCTTCTGAATTCTTCTGAGAGACGTCTTATTCTTGTAGATTAGGGTTTGATCTTTGTGTTCTTCATCTCTCTTGATGAACTTGTAAACTGAGATCAATGTATTTGTTAGCCTCTATAATCTGTATTTACGAGTGATTGCTGTGAGAATAAGGGTTTTCTTCCAATCGAGATTTCAGTAGGCGACTGTGGGGTTTCTTGGGTGATTCCTTACAGATCTATAGATAAGTGTTCTGTACTTTTCTCTTGTGTTGAAAGAGCATTTTGTAACTTTTTGCCATTTTTGGGCTAAATAGTGCATCCGAGCAGATATCTATTATTTGGATGCTCAACGGGGGATGTAGGCGTTAGATGTGGTCGTCGAACTTTCGGGGCTTAGGCTGAATTAATTCTTTTTGTTCAATCTTTAAGGTGGTGTTCTCTTTGTATTTCAATTTTGTATTTTGAGTTTTGAATTCATTTTGTATTTTGTGTTTTAAGTGTCTATTTTGAAATTGTTGAAAATGCGTTTTTTGCCATTCTGAAAAACTATTTTTCAAAACATAAAAATAAAAAACGTGTTGTTCGCTGAAAATATACCGCAAGTGCACGAGTCGAGAACAAGTAGTAAAATGGATTTTTTAGGTTCGAGTCGATCCAACGGAGAGTGTTGATTTCAATTATAAGTTTATTTGTCACAAATTAACAAAATTGACACACATATTTAAAAATGTGATTTTTAAATTGAAAAAATACAATTTTGATTTAAAACGTAAAATGACAAATAAAAGGTGAAAAAATTTTGATTTCGAAAAGATGTTGGAATTTATGATTTCGCTTAACCTTTATTTTATTAATATCAATTCAATTATGCGCTGATGCAAATTACCAAAA